TCTCTGCGAAACTTCCTCTGTTCCACAAACCTGCCCACTGGGATCTGTCTGGCATTAATTGGCCTTCAAAATTACTTATGGAAATATCTTCAGCTGATTTTTGTAAGTCATTGAGCAAGGAAAAAAACCCCAAAGGTTTGGGTTGGTTTTGAGGATTTTTTGGGGGGTTGCTTTTTTTCTTTGGGGGGGGGGGGTTGGGGTTTGTTTGGTTGGGTTTTTTTCCTTTAAAAAAAGAAGCAAGGAAAAAATCAATAAATTCTTGCATGCGGACATGGTATTCTGCTTCTTAAAATAAACGCCTTAAGACGAAGATTTGGCCCTGACTTTCCTACGAAGTTTCTTTGTGTGAATTAAGGGCCTCAAAAGGTGAAGCTGGGGGAGGACGGTAGATGTGCGGAAAGCCGTGGGTCAAGCAGCGACTTCGGAAAGACCTACGGCGGCAGCGGGGTCCGGAGGGGGAGTGATCAGGGTCCGTAAGAAGCCCCGGGACTGCGGCGGGAGGAGAAACACGGAACGACGCCGAGGTCCTTGAGGAAAAGCAGGGCTCCCCTCGGGAAGGCTGAGAGGTGAGCGCACAGGCATCCCGGAACTGCAGTGCCCGGTCCCCGGCAGGAGCGGCGAAGCCGCTCTGCAGACGGCAATGCCAGCCCAAGGCTCGAGAGCCAAGCAAGAGGCAGAGCGGTGGGGGAACACGAAAAGCCCCTCTCCCCGGTGCCGGCCTTTTGTTCCCGGGGCCGGCATCCACCGGATGCACCGGTAACGAGTGATCTGGCTCCGCCGAGCTCTCCTGCTCGCCCCGCTCGGGAAGAAAAGAGTACGCGAGACGTTCCCCTGCCCGGTGCCCGGCGGCGGCGCTGCTCGGTTGCTGCGCGGCTCCGCCTGGGCACAGGGAGAGCGGGGCAGGCGGAGCGGGACCGCCCGGCGCCCGCAAACCCCCACTGCTGCTCCCGCCCCCCGACCCGAACCCGGAGCTCACCGTCCTCGTAGTTCTTGAGGTAGTAGTCGGGGCCGGGCCCGCCGCGGCTCTTGGCCGGGTTCTTCACGTTGTGGAACTGCAGAAAGTCCGTCCTCTTGCCCGCGAAGCGTAGGAAGGCGGGGGCCAGGCCCCGCGCCAGGGTCACCAGCCGCCGGGAGCTGGGGAGAGGAGAGACCGGGCTGAGCCTCCCTGCCTCGGTCCCGCGGACGACCGGCGGCCACGGGGTTTAGGGGACCATCCGTTATCCTGCAGGGCCCTGCTGCCCGGTGCGCTGCGGGTACCACGGCGGCGGAGTCCAGCTGTGGGGCTTTGCGCCGGCCGAGCGGCGCGGCCCGGGACCGGGGAGCCGCCCCAACCGCCGGTGGTGTCCCGAGGCCGGCGGGACCCGGCTGATAACCCCCTCCCCGCCCGCCCGCGGCGTCCCCCGGACAAGTGCAGCAGCGTCCCGGAGGCAGAAGCGCTTCACCTCCCCGCACAGCCCTGCTGCACCACACGGGAACACGGGACCGTGCCGCGGGCCGAGCCGCCGCGGAGGGGAGGGGAGCGGAGCGGAGCGGAGTGAAGCGGAGAGGGGAGGAAAGGAAAGTGGAAGCCGGCCCGGCTCCGCTTCGCCCGCTCCTTCCCCGGGGGCTGCTGCAGCCGAGGAGACCCTCGGAACGGGCGTGCGGTGGATACCCGCTCTCCCTTCCCGACTTACCCAGCAGGGAGAGGGCTTTCTGGCCGTCCCAGCGCCTCCAGGCCGCGGCCGCTCCGCACCGCCGGTGGAGCCCAGCGCAGCTGCAGCCCGACTCTGCCCCCCTCGCAGGGCTGGAAGTCCGGGGAGCGGAGGGCTCTGAAGACCTGGCCGACACCCCGCTTTCCGGCCGTCGGGACCCGGGAAAGGCTCAGCTCGGCTCGGCAGGCGGCCCCGTTCCTGCTGCTGCTTTTTGATTTGTTTTTTAGTTATTTTTTTTTCCCTGTGCTGCCTCGGCCCCGTGTTGTGCTTTAATTATTTTATTGTTCAGGGGAGCGGTTGTTGGAGTGAGGGGAGCACGACATTTTTGCAGTCATAACTGATAAGTCTCCGAAATGCTTTCTCCATTGCAAACATGTGCATCTTAATGGAAACCATGGCCTCGCTCCCTCCGTCACAACGAGCGCCGCCAGCAGCGCGGAGCCCGGCGGGGCTGGGCGGCGGGGCCGCCGGGGCGCCCCGCGGGCGGCTTGGGAAGGGCGCCGGGGGCTCCTGCCTTACCTTAAGAAATCGAGCCAGCCATCATGAATGATGGAGGGGTCCAGCTGCAGGGAGAGGAAATTCTCACTGATTATCCTGACAGGGCTCTTGGTGTTGACATCAAGGAGAATGAGAGTCCTTCCCTTCACACCTGGAGGTTTCTCCACTGGCAGCGCTCTCCTGTCCCCGGCCTGGGAGGACAGCGAGAAGGTGGCCATGAGAGCCAGCCCAGGTGCCATCAGGGCTAAGAGCCCGGGGGGACAGGAGCTGGGATAGGGCATGCCGGAGAGCAGGAAACCCCTAATTAGCTCGCTGTCTGCAGGGGCTCGCTGGTGGCTAATTGTCCTTATCTAAAGTGTGGGGAGCTCTGCCTTTTTTTGCAATGTTTTGGTGCTGGTGGAGGGGAACTCACGCCCCTGACCAGCCTTTCTCGCAGCCGGTGCCAAGACTCCATGCAGCCAGCACCGCCCCTTTAAGAGATGCAGGCTCCAGACATTTTTAACTTTTTGAAGGTAAGGGGAGGCTCCTGGTTTAACCCCCTCGGCTCGGGGCCCGCCGCAGCCCCGAGCTTTCGCTTTGCGCCAGCTCTGCAGCCCATCGGCGGCCGCCTTCCGGGACCGGAGTTCTCGGACAGCGCAAAACCGAGCCGTAGCCGGGACACCGAGGAGCTCGGGACCGGAGCACGGCGGCGGCCCAGCACGGCCCCAGCTTGACCGGTAAGGCAGCGCGGGCGGCCCTGGCTATGAGAAAGCGAGGTTAATCACCCCCAAAAAGCCCGCGATACCCAAGGGGGAGAGCTCAGCCCCGACCGAGCCGGGACCCGCCGTGCCGGGTGGGGGCTCCGGGACTGAGCCCTGACGGTTCCGCGGGACCCGACGGGAGCAGCGGGGCTGGGGGTCGCCGGCAGCCTGAAGCCCGGTCCCGGCACACGCGGCTGGCCCCGCCCAAAGACACCGGCTCGGCCGGACCGCTCACGAAGATCCGTCGAGGACCGAGACCCGGGGAATCTGGCCACCCGCAGCCCTCTCCCTTCGGATGCGGGGCCCAGCGGTGCCTGACCCGTGGTAGGGAAGGGAGAGGAGCGGCGGTAGCAGCACCCGTTATGTAAATGCCCTCATCGGTGGTGCAAAGGACACTACCTTTCGGTTCGATAGAACCGACGATGTAGCCCGCGCCAGGGCCAGCTCGTGGCCGCTGCCTGCGGGACGGCCCGGGCCCGGTGTGCTGCAGAAGTGAAACCGGCCACGGTTCTCGGTGCTGGGAGCAGGCTGGTGACACCAGGCCCGGCATCAGTGGCCGCTGCCGAGCATCCCGGGAGGGATGGCCTACCTCAAGGAATCTACACGGGAACAAGGCATCTTGCCCCACCAACAGCCGGTTTCCGGGCAAGCGCCGCGTCCCGCACACCGGTAGCCGGTGGGCTCAGGGACATGTAACGTGCCATACCTGAACCCTCCGCTTCTGCCGCTGCCCTTGCCCACCCCAGTTCCACCTTCACCCAGACCAAGCAGCACGCAGGGCTCAGGTGTCGCTGCCTTGCCCGGCGACGGAGGGCTGGAGGTGGCTGCACTGAGCCGGGCCCTGTGCGGCCCTTCGGGCCCCGCAGCCCCGGGGATGGGGCTCCAGCAGCACCATCTGCCGGTGAGGGGCCCGGCGCAGCGGGGACAGGCACCCACCTGCGGGCTCGCCAGCGCCGGGGTCGGGAAATGCCGGGGCAGCGGCGAGTGGTGGGGCTGCGGGACAGAGGCACAAGTAGCGCCCGGAGCCGCATGGAAGAGCGGAGCAGACGACAGGGCCCCGCCAGCCGCCCTAGGGGAGCCTGTCCGGGCTCAGGTACGAGCGGCGAGCTCCGCAGGCAGGGCCAGGGGCACTCCCGGCGCACCGGCAGCCTGTTGTCCCGGCAGGGCTCCCCGCGGCTGGGACCCCCATCCCGCTCTTCCCAGTGCCCGGGCGGAGCCACCTGCGCTCTTCGTCCTTCGCAGCCGGGGTCCCGGAGGCGGAGGGAGAGGACCCGGTGTGTCCCACGGCGGCAGGTCCCGGAGCTCGGTACGCTCGCCTGATCCCCGCACAAAGTGGAGAAGCTTGGGCCTGGATCCTGGGGAAGTCGGCAGTGAGCGTCGTCTCCCGTGGACATCTCCTTTCCCCTCGTTTCTGCCCCACAAAACGCTTCAAGCCTATCTCTCCAGGGGTAACCCCGCTGCCAGACTCGGGCTACCCAAGCAGGGGTTGCGGGGAACCGGAGTCACTGTGCAGTTAATAGCAACGGGACTGGGGGAGGATGAAACATACGTTTGTCTCTGCTGGGGTGAGCAGGGAGAGCACAAACCAGGATTTGCCGTGAAACCCATCCCGGTAAGAAGGAGATAGATGGGAGCTGGGCTCAAAACGCGCCTCGCTGCCAGGCGCAGCTCAGGCTGACGAAAAGCAGTAAAGGGACGCCCGGAGCAGCGGGGCTTTGAGCGCTAGCAGAAATAAGAGGATCCGGGGGAAAGGGCTGTGCAATTTCAGCTGTGCAAAGCCCTGGCATCCCGGGACAGGAAGAAGGCAATTTAAGCCTGGAGACTTGTATTCGGCTGCAAATGTTTCAGCCGCAGTTTGCAATGGCGCTTAGAACTGACCCAGGACCCGAAGCCTCAGCTTCGGAAGCTGCTCAGGTTTTTGGGTCACCTCCAAACACGGGACATGAGTTTCTGAATCATGGTGTTATTTTATGATTGTTTCCCCCCGCATTATCAGATGTCAGCAAGGCTTCAGGGGCATTTGTTTCTCAAATCAGAGCTGTGGTTACAGGCCAACATTTTGTGCCGCGTCTCCTGCTAAGGATGCCTCTATTTTAAAACGAAACTCTAGCGGGTTAGGTAGAAAAAGACAAGAAAGGAAACAAATTGTCCCATTTAACCTCCTTTACACATGTATTTTCCCCTTACAAACAAACTTCTTTGGAAATGTGTTTATTCTGAAACGTTCCTTATAATTAGTCTCTGCTTCGAACGCAAACTCCGGATGCAGCGAAGTCACTTATCTGCGGAGACATCACCAACAACATAAAACAGCAGGGAAAGGAGCAAAAAGTCTCCCAGCTGCCGGGGTCAGCTTCCAGATTCTGGGAAGAAGGCGCTAAAGAACATATTCCCTTACCTGTCTCAGCTTTCCAGACCAACAGCTGGAGTCTGCCTCGATCCGGTGGCCTCGGAAAAGCGATTGCACCCCTTTTCGCATCTCGCCACAGCAAGGGCAAGGCGAACCTAACAAATTCACCGGTTTGGGGGTTTGGTTTTAAAATAAATGGTAGGTTTGCTATAGAAGCCCTTTAAACTCTAATACTTTGGTTATTATTTCTGAGCGGTGGGGCAGTAAGGGAGGTGCGGGAGCCCCGAGAATTACCGGCACCGCTCGGGGCTGGTCCAGGAACCTGCAAGGAGGGGGCACAGCTCACCTCCTTCACAGCAATGCAAACCAGATAGGAGGCATCTCGATTTACACCAGCTGCGACCTTGCTCGCCGTGCGCGGGGCGGTGAAGCGCTGGTCCTTTCTTATATTACGATAATTAGTTTAGAAAGCCTGACTCACATAAAAGCTATCTATAAAGATTTACTCGCGGTTTTGTCGATTTGGAAATACGTTTCTCCTTTTTCCATCTACTCTAAACCTGATGGTTTTAATCTCCAAAACAGTCATTGGAAAGAAAAAAAAAAAACCCAAAAAAACCCAAAAAAACAAACCGGGGGAGGAGAAGCATTTCTATAAAGAGTTTAACCAAAGCACATTAAATATTTTCCCAACATCACCAAATAAACAACAATCCTCCAGCTCCCTATAAACTATTTAAAGCATGTCATATCATCTCTTCTGCTCTTGCCAATGAACTTTCCTTTTAATTTATAAGCAGATTAGAGCAGGGGCCTGTCTTTTTGTGTATATTTGCAAAACGTTTGGCACCCTTTCAGTCAGTTGGAGTTCACAAACACTTAAAACTGCATTTAACTTCGTTATTATAGGTAGTTCGCCTTTTCCTTGCTTTTGTAGAGCTACTGCCTGTGAAAGTGCTTGTTGTAAATCGTCTGAGCAGTTGTTGAAGGGTTTCAGTACATGAAACCTCTTTGGACGGCAGGGCTGACTGGGGCGGAGGGGGGGGGGGAAGGCAGAGGGTGGGGAAGAGAGAGAGAAATAAAAGCACAACGGAAATTTAAACCGAGATCTCAGGCTGTACAAATCGGCCTGAAAGAAAATGGGGGAAATCTCCTTAGGACGAACATTTTTAGTTCACTAGAAAATAAACTTCTGCTCCTAAATGATGAAAGTTATTATCATCAGAGGATGTGCTGTACCAAACAAACCTCCATTAGGCTGGGAAGGATAAAACAGGCTAGACAGCCTTTAAAAAAAAACAATCATCATGTCTTTGATTCCCAAGATATCAACCATGTCTGTTTCTGTAGTGCTGTCAAGTAAACCTGAGTTATGGATGCTCTAAAAGAAGCCAGCAAGGAGAAAATTCAGCAAGTGACAATTAAGAGCGTTATCTAGAGATACTTTACCAAAATACACTTTCTTTTCAGACTCTTAAGTTCTTGCCCTGTACCATGGCATGACAATTTCTGAGAAGAAGAGCAAGCCCAGGGAATGTGGTAAATCTGTGGTCATCACACCACTCCATTGCATGACAGATTCCTTTTATTGAGGCTTTTTCTCTTTCTGCACTGCACTGCCCATCATCTTCACAAGAGCCTTAATGTCTGGAATGCAACCTTCTAAAACTGCCAGTGTCAAGCTGGGTGCTGCACAGTCTGAACTCCACTGCTGAAACCATTTTCTAGCACATTTATGTATCACATCTAACCTGAACAAGCAGGCAGAGGAGTTACTCAGTTTAATATACTATTGGTGCATTGCTGTTTAATGGAGATGACCTGGGAAGTTCTGTAACAAGCAAATACATCTGGGCTGAGAGGACTGGCTGGCTGGGGAGCTCAGTGACAGCAGGAGGAAAGCAAGCCTACTGAGAGCGCTTCCTTCATCTGTATGAGCAAAAAGCAAGGCATCAATCAAAACTAACTGCCTGGTCAGAAAAAACACAGTTGGCAGTGCTCTTTGCCTTTTCGCCAGCATGAAACAAACACAAACTGGTATTTCCAAGTCTAGCCATAGGAAAATAGAGCACAGTGCTGCCAGGCTTTCCTTTGAGAGTCATTCTGTACTCGCTAGCTGCCTGATTAAGAAAACTATAGAAAAAGGTGACATGGACAAAAAGAAGGCACTGGTCTCATAAAGGTTGTGGGTGTGGGCTCTCCCTAGCTGGCACACCAGGGGAAGCCACATGAGAAACTGGGGGGTGAAGGTGTGCTAAAGCTAACGGCAGCTGCTGGTTCATGATCTCTTTTCTTTTTTTTCCTTTTTTTTTTCTTTTTTTTGTAACTTAATTTCCATCCCTGTGAGCAGTTAGACACCATGTACTCTGCTGGAATAAACTGCATGTTTTGTTTTCCTCAATCCTGGTCTCAAATATACTCGGACTAGCACAGGGTACCCTAATCCCGGAGGTTCGTCTATAGAGAGAGACAGGGAGTTCCCCAAGTGTCTATCTCCCAAAAGATGTTTTGAGGTTCTTGAAAAACTAAGATGCACAATTTCCATCAAGGTGTGGGAACTGCTCCAGAGGCTGGTCAAACCGGGTGCCGTCCCAGCAAGCAGAAGTCCCCTTTGCCCACTGCCTCTTCAGCAAGCAGAAAAACATCCACATAGTGACTGAGGATACCTCTGTGTATGACAACACCCTTTGACAGAGAATGCCCTTTGGATTTCCAAACTTCTCTGTAGTCATCAATGGCTGGGTCTGATTTAGCTGTTGTCATTTGTACCTTGAGTAGAAGCAAGTCAGGGGAACAACACACCAGTGAGAACCAGAGCTCTGCAGATCTCCAAAGACCACAAGAGCCTCAGACACACTTCCCCCAAACTAAGCCCAGCCCTGAGGAGCAGAGAAATGTGTAGAATTACCATCGTTTCACATCATCACGTGAAAAGGAAAGAGAAGTGAATATGCCAATTTTGCAAGCCTGAGAATGAATGTGAACAAGTATCTGTCCCACCATCTGGGAGGAGATGATAGAGGTGAAGGAAGAGGGAATACAGGGGGGATGGTAAAAGTTCAGAGACCTATTTTTCTGGAGGGATGCTTCACATTCCAGCAGCAAAACTGAAGGAAGTGGACATGAGGAGTAGATCAGAGAGGGGAAATAGGAAGATGGATGAAGTGCAAGGCTGGAGGAGCAAACGAGTCAATTACAAAAAAGAGGAAGGGACTGTGTGCAGAAACCAACGAGGAGATGGAGCTCAGGGGACGAAAGAGCAGCCAAAATGTTCTCAAGGCAGAGATGTTGCTGGGGTGAGAGAGACAGGAAAAAACGGAATTTCAGGTAATGATAAAATTGTAAACCTCTGTCCTCTCTATTTGATTATGGCACCTCTGTCACCAACTTTGCCAGGACAACTGAGGATGGCCCTGCTATAGACAGCAGGAGAAATCAACTATGTCAAAGCTGCAAGCCATTGGTTTTTGTAGAGGAATCAGAAGCAACACATGAAACTCAGATAGAGAGAAAGAGGAGGAAGTGCTGAGAACTGTGGGTCATGCCTGACAACTGGAGAGACAGACGGAGAAACAAAGTGAAATGCCAGCAGTGTAGAAGCAGTGAATGCCCAGAAGGAACCCAGGAGATGAGGAGGGCCGGAAATGAGCACCGCTGGACATTGGTGAAAGGACGAGAGGCCGGCAGTGACATCACTAGGATGTACTAATGGAGGGAAGGTGAAACAGGGTGAAGCTGGATAGACCATAAACCAATTCTCTGCTTCTATTGCCCCAAGAAAGCTCTCAAATAAATCCAGAAAAACTTTCTGCATAAATTCCAAGAGCAACAGTTAAGTTCCTGAGCTCTTTAAGGTGGTGATGGAGAGACAAATGTCTGCAAGCATCACTTGTAAGGTTGAAATCATGCAAACACATGGTCTGCCTGCAGCTTTACACAAATCTGACATAAACCCTATCCCTCCTACCGACAATGAGCAAGCAAATAGTTCCTTCTCCTGTCTTGAGTTTAATGGGGCAGAAGAAAAATGTTGCACGATGGCAGAGAGCACTGAGAGAAGCATTTCCACAGTTCTTACAGCAACACAGCTTCACCTCAGTGCTGCTTCAGTGCTTGAATACCTGCAGAAGTGATGGGGAAGGTGCAAGGTCCATAGCCCAGGCGCAGTAGTTTATTGCCCAGAAACAACTGCAGGGAAGGAGTGTATTTTCATATGGCAAACATCTCCTTTGTCCTTTCTACCACTGTCTGTGTGTTGCCTCGTTTCTTCTGCCTCCACAGTTTCCCTTCTGTTAGCCCTTTTTAGCAACGTGGAGAAGCTATAAATAAAGCTATATAAGCAATGTAATAGGCATGCAATTGCATGTCTCTTTTCTTTGAAAAAACGATGCTTTATTTCCTGTACAATGGAAACTACAGTTTGATGTTACAGCTATTGGATTTTGACTGAATGCAGAAATTTGACTTAAACAACGACATTTTCTCCCGTATTTAGTATTACCATATGTCACTGATTATATATTTAAGTTGCAGAAATGAATTAAATTTCATGGCTTCCTCAAGTTAGATTCTCTTGGAGTGGACTGTCTTTTCTTATTAACCAAAATGCTTGGGAAACAGTTTAAATCAAACAGAGTTTTGGTATAATTTCAGGAGAAAACTGGTTATCGCAACCTGAGTGCTTAACGTGCCATCATCCAGAAGGCTGCGTAAACCTTTGCAAACGTGCAGCAACCCTGGCCAGCACAAAGAGGTTAACTGAGCACCACAGGCTCAGAGATGGAAAAAAATTAAAAGACACGATGCATTGTTTGGAGCTCATTGGCCTGGGGTCTTATTCCTTCTGCCTCAGAAGTTATCATGTATCCCACATCTCGCTGCTTGCTTCACTTACGTGGGGGAAAGTATCCTCTCTCAGCTGGCTACAGAGCACTAGCGGCAATCACATTGCACGTACGTTCTGGGAGAAGCCAGCCTTGTGCTTGCTTGATTTCTTCCTGTTTTCTGGGAAAATAAAAAAATAAATTAAAATCCACATTTTCTTTCCTCCTTCTGTTTCCCATCATGATTTGGATTGCTAACATTTCTATCCCCACTAGCAGTCCCGTGGTGGCTCCTGGCCCTTTTCTATAGGACCAGCAGACAGCAGAACCCCCGGGCTCCCATCAACCACAAAGGAAGCGAGCTGCAACCTGCAGCCTCTGGGACTCTGACTTCAGGCCTTGAAGTCAAAGTGATGTGAGGGACTTTACGACATTTCCTGTGTCCAAGCTTCCCTCCTCCTCTACGTCCTGCCTGGACCCACACAGTCAGGGCTGGAGGAGGACAGCCATCATCAGAGATGTCACCACCAGCAGGGGTTGTGGACGTTGCAGGTTGTGACACAGAAGCTGCAGAGGAAGCTCAGTGGTGGCAAGTATGGTGTAAAGCAGAGTCTGAGCAGTTCTGGTGAGTGGGAGGTGGGTTGTTATTTCTAATTGAAGAACAATGTCATAAGGGGAGAACCGGTGAAAAAAGACAGATGTTTCAGCATAAGAAGAAAACAAGGGCAGCTTGCTGAAGGACTCACCAGGCAGGATACAGCCAGTATGGGCCTCAGCAAGAGCCTTGCAAATTCACATCATACTTTGCCAAAGACTCAATCAATTGAGCATGTGCTAAAGCTTAGTTTGTTTTGTCTTATTTGGAGCTTTGGAAGATTTTTCCTATCTTGACTCATTGAACACACTCCAGCCACACACCTGCAACTTCTGGAGTGCATCCTCTCAGCAAGAGGCTGGCTAGCACATCGTCACTTATGCAGGGCAAATCCTACTGAAAGCACATCGGACCACAGCTTTCGCACCAGTTTACTTTTACATATAGCACATGTAAGCTAACATCTGGCAAGAACACAACTATGTCCTGATCAAGACGGAGCTCATTGCAACAGATGGTGTGTAATACTGTAGGACCAAGGTAGCTCCATCCTAGACTAGGTGTTATTCTTCTGCGCTTTTACATCCTCTGGCCATACCTTTTTGAGAGCAGAGCTGTTGTTACTGAGGTTTTGCACTCCCATCGAGATCATAAGCCACACTCAACCTACAGGTCACTGCCTAGTCCTAACACCCAGGTTATTTTGCTCCCATTGAGGCATCTCAGTACATGAAGCAGGATTCTGGCACGACTGTTTCACCGTATGTGAGTATAACAAGGTTAGTAACACTCTGAACCAGATAATGCCTCCAAGCACACAGTAGCTTTGCCAGCACACACACGAGCACCACCGGTAGTTACCAGTCTAACAAATAACATCTGGTGTCCATTTGGGGGTAAAGGATAGAAAAGCCAGCAAAGAGCAGCCTCCAGTGCCACCTCGAATTTCATCTTAAAGGGAAAAGTGTTCAGAAGAGAAAATCCAGCATCGAAAGGAATATTGCTGTGACTCTTGGAAGATACAAGATGTGACCAACAGTCTCTGCAGCTTTAGACAGTTATTGTCCGAGATTGTTTTGCCAGAGGTTTATTTTGCCAGTAGAAGTACGGAGAGAGATTGCCACCTTGTGGTTCCTCCTCCTGCAGTGCCATGGTGTGGTTTTGAATTGTACTAGACTAGACCAGTGGTTCCCAAACTGCTCTCCGAGGGATTCTGGTGACAAGGGTACTATGGACAGGAATACTTTCCAAGTACTTACTTAACTAAAAAAAAAGCAAGCCTGTAATTCACAGTCCCAATTCCTGTACTGAAAAACTTACCAACAGAAACTATTTCAGGCATCTAACCTACAAGTTAATAATGACGAGTAACGACTGGCAGGGGTAAACAGCTTCCAAATGCTGTGTGATTCACAAAAAACAGATTCTCTTTACAGTGTTTTCAGCATCAAGAAATCTCTGGGAAATCCATTGCTGATGACAGCCTCCAGTTTCTCAAATTTGGGATGGTCTCAAACAGTAGTTCCCATAGGGCCCTAATGAGGAAGCAGCAGCCATGTGCTTGTCCCCACCACCTGCAGAGAGGAAGGCAGAAGCAGATGGATCTTGTCCCTAGTCACTCCGGGTACCACTTAAGGCAGTTTGTGAGATGTAATCTTGGGACAGTCTAAGTTGGAGTGAGGTCTACAAAAGGAGGTGGTCAGCTGGCTCCTCTGTATGTTATACCCTGGTAGAGCAGCAGGCAGAGTTCCCCCATTGGAGCTTAGGAGTAGTTTGGAAGGGAAAGATCAGGAAGAGCGTGTGAAGCAGCACACAGCTCCTGCTAAATGCCAGGGAATTAATGGAATTTGGAAGAAAGTTACCTGCCTCTCCCAG